TTAGATGCAATCTACATTAAGGTTAGTCGGTCCCGTGATCCGAGCGTCAAAAGTTGACTTCGACATCTTATCAGCCAATCTTCAGAAGGTTGAATCTGATTGCAAGGCATCCTGGGATCATATGAAACGCGTTGCCAAACACGATAGCTCGCAAATATTTAAGACGAAGATAAATGAATTCCTAACAGATGCAGCAGAAAGGATAATTTTACTATCAGTTATTAAAAAGAGGGTGATGAACAGGTAATATCACACAGATAAACTTATGTTGTATAATAAGTTTTTGATTTTCTCATTATTAATGTTTAATACTTTCATACTCTTGAGTCGTCTTCATCTTCTTGGTGCTCTTCACCCGCCAGCATGGCAGCAATGATTGCTGGCGTTGACAGGTCTCTTCCGATTTGGTCGATCAGGACTTCAGACGTTCAGACGCCCACGCGGGGCAGTTTTCCAGCGTTTGCTGGGCGGAGTCCCAGTCGGCTGCGCAGTGCTGGCGTTGTGTCGTCTCCTCGCGTCTGATACGATTCAGGTACTCACCGAAGCAACCATGCCCAGTGAGTACCTGCGTCAGTCGATAGGTGACGCGACCTCCCTCCCTACCTATCCAAGCTTCGAGTTCGAGGTTAGGCAGAATAGCACCGACAGCGCGTTAAATGTTAATATTAGCTATTATTGTCATTAGTACCGTAGGTAAAGATTACTACTTTGCGTGACGGCTGACTTGATCCCGACACCTTCGGCTTTTTGTTATAACATTCCTTTACTCGGTTATCAGTAAAAAATTAGGGACAAAAACAGACTTTTAATGGTCGGTCATTAGAAGTCTGATACTGTTACCTTTTGAAATATATTGAATTAAATTTTATTTTTATCTGCGAATGTTGTGACACAATGTACTTGTTTTAATAAAAGGCAGTAATTATCATCATTTGCATTCCGCGCGTTATCGCTTCAAGTTGATAAAATTTTCAATGTTCATATAAATATTTTTAATTCGGTATAAATGGATATTATTCGCGCTTGTGCTACTTAATTTGCAGTTACTGTTACCAAAAATCATTATAAACATTTGAATAACTTGTGAAGTGCAGAATAATAAAAAATAAAACGAAATTATCTTATAAAAAGATCATAACTCAAACTTTTAAGTCGGTACATAACAGTTTAGTGTGCAGTGTTTTATGCGAACGCGTAAGCGACGTGAAATCCACGGCGCTTGCGAAGTTTTGAGCGCGAGCGTGCTGTGTTGCAATATATTTAATCGATCGAAGGCCGGTCGAGAGGCTCTTGTTATATTGGACGGAGCGCAATTTCGTACCGACGCCCGGTTTAGGGTGACCTCAGCTCAACTAACAGTGGACTGCTACAATCGATAATTTCCAGTAATTGCGGACACCAAACGAGATTTTTCAAAAAGTCTCAACGAGGGTATTATAAAACTTATAAAATAATTTGTCCGTATTAATTATGTCATTATTACGGACACCACCAAAACAATGCAGTGGCTCAACACCCAATTTATCAATTAATGACCCAAGAGAATCGTTCACGGATGTTAGTAATATTACTTTGTGTCTAATTTCCGAATGTACCTCTCCTGAGGAGAGGTACATTCGGAAGGAGGAGGAGGAAGGAGAGTCTCCTCAACTGGAGGTGTTAGAACTGTATTCATTTACTAATGAAACACGGTTTCAAACACTAATTATTATTATTTATTACTAGCTGACCCGGCGAACTTCGTACCGCCTTAGCGTAGCAATGATGCACTACTTTATTTTGTATAGCTGACCTATCTTAGGTATGAGTACCTATTCAATTTGAACTGTAATCTATAATATCCTCCATATAAAAATGAATCCATAATTCCCTGGTCTCGCTATACCTGAAAAGGACCTTACTAATTTAATTAAATAAAAAAGAAAATATATATTTCATAATAGTGTTTATTCCATAGGATTCAATAATTCCACTAATGTTTTTACAAATCGCTATTGAACAACTTGGCATTTTTAATTAAACACAGCTCAATACCACGCGCGCTCTAGAAAGCAACTAATAGTCTCTGTACCCTTCACTGCTTCTCTCTACTCTAATGCTTTTTGATAAACTATATTTTTAGTTTTATGTTCTGGAGCGTAAATAAATAATGTTGATGGTTTTCCGACATGGGAACAGGCGACATATAATTGGCCATGTGAAAAACATGGATTTAGTCCAATAGCAACAATTTGATCTGAACTGTAATCAATTGCCACATTATAACTGAATGCAGCTCTGTGGGGATTAAACACAACATTTCTATCTTGATATCGATTCCGTTCAAGTTCATTTCGCGCTTCGCGTTGCTCATCAGTTTGATTTGCTCTTATATTTCTTTGACTTGCCGTATTTCGAGTTCTGCGGCCTAAGCTTGTACGTCTGGTTGGTGGCATTGTTAAAAACGAAAATCCAACTGAAAATAAAAAGCTCTCATACATTTTCTGTAGGACCATGTATACCAAATTATAGTATTGTGTAGTCACCAAAAGTTACTAAAAATCAATATGAAGCTGTGAACTTACCGTGATTAACAAACACTTATTAGCAAACAAAAATCTTCTTAGTCTTTAAAACAAAACAAACTTTAACAAAAACTTTATAAACTTATTGTTGGCGCGGTTATGGGTGTGATGTCACAGATTAGTGATGGTTAACTCGAGTACCTAACCCGAGTGTACTCGAGTTGGACGTAACTCGAATCTACTCGAGTTGAATTTTCTCTAATTCGAGTTCGAAAAAAATTTCAAGCATATAATTTAGCTAAGGAAAAAATATTCTTTGTGATACTAATTATCTTATTATCTTGAAAATATTGTGATTACTGATTATAAAAATAGTTTAATTGATAGTAAATATTATTTTAAATACTTAAATAAATGATTGGATTTCACTCGAGTTAAATCGAGTAATATTTTTTCCGAGTTGTCACATCACTATAACAGATTACCACAGATTTTTTTTATAAAGCCAATGTACTACCACAGATTACTAAATAGGTTATGCGAAGTTTGTTGTAAAATATATTGGTGATTCCTTGCATACGGTACTCACTAGATGTAACCAAGGTCAAAACTATAAAATTAACAAAATTTTTATTATGTTTTAGCAAGCTGTTTTGACGTTTCTAAATAAGTTTTATTGTTATTTTAATACGAGTATAGATAATATTAAAATAAGGATCATCAAAATTTCAGAAATCATACCACAAAAAATATATTGGAAAAATTGTAGTGATAGTCCTCAATGTGATAGTGATCCGCAGAGAAAGCCTTTATGTTTGAACTTGTTGAAGCAGGTACCGTTACCTACCCACATACCACACTTCTAAGCACGGAGAATTTATTCCCTCCGAACAGGAGCAAAAAGTATAAGAAAACACGCATATTTGAGAGCCCTCGATATAAAAAAGGTCCTAAAGAGGATACAAAATCACGTCATGTTAAAGGTATGCATTTATAATATGAATCGCAATATATTTATTATGTAAATAATATATATGATTTTTGAATTGACGGTAGTAAGATTGCAATTACGATGCACAATCTCGTGTTACCTCAATGTGATTAAAAAGCGACTACAAAAAAGTATTTCAATTTTTTTTACCATTTCATGATCAGTCTTACGATCAGATCTATCTTTCATCCGATTACTGTAACAAGATATCATATCTGAGCAAAATTAAAAGCTACAGCACAGCTTCTTCATAATACACCATATCAGATGATTTTAAAGCAACGGACAGACAGCCTGCGCTGTCTGTCCGTTGTTGTAAAGAATTAGCACGGATTCCGGAAATAAAACAGCAAATATATGGATTGAGCGTGTACTGCCTTGTAAAAAGCTCCAGAGTCGTAGTGCAAGTGAACATTTTAAATCAAACTTAAAGCTACCGACTATATTGGTGACACAGATGACAGGCAACGTTTAATTGCTAGATGTATTGCGGTGCGTTTACCATTGGGCGCCTGAACATACCCCCGGACGTTGAAAGGTGCCCTTTCAACCACTAGTGGAACACACGGGCAACGGGCAGATCCGATTAAAAGCCCTTTCGACGTTGACGCCCACAGACGTCCGGATATCAGCAACGCGAACAACCCCATCCTCTCCAGCATGCACAGCCACGATTCTCCCCAAACGCCACTTCAGAGGGGGCATGTTGTCCTCCTTGACGACCACCAATGTATGAAATAAAATAGAAAACATAGTAGACTAATTGGTATTGTAACAATTTTCAGACAGCTAGATGATTCCGTAATCAATACGATTCGACGCAGAAGCATCAATCTAAATACTTCAGACAGAAGGAAGTCTAAAAAGCAACAGACCAAAGAAAAAGGTAACATGAGTATTAACAAACAGTATGAGTGTTTGATGTTTTGATGTGCTTCTAAGATATATTTTAATTTTGCATGGTATGGCCATTCATACCTTTTTATTTTTCCTAACATTTGAAAGTTTGTGAAATGCCTCTTTAAATAATATTCTATTAATGTGATATTGTTACTATACATATCGTATCATTCAAATTTAAAAATATTTTCTAATGATCAAGAACCTTTCTGTGTTATTGTACTCGTATAACTTTAGCGGTTAAAGTTTTAACGAAATCTCTTACTTTAAACTTGTGTAAAACTTTCCTCCAATTCTCATTTTACTTGGGTTTCTTTTGTACATTATTTGTAATATTAGAATACTTTACGTCATTAATAATGTACGTGATTAATAACATGCCTTTATCGTGTGCTGTTTCTTACTAACACAGCAAAACCAGTCATCATTCATTCGGATTCTGAAATCAAAATAACGAATAATCACCATACTACTACAAATCATCGTAGTCCATTTTCACCAACTATAACTGATAATAAGGAGAATAAGGAACTAAGCACAGCTTTAAGAAGAAGAAGGGACAGGTTTGCAAGACAGGCTCACCACATTATTCAACAGCAAGAGATGTTAAATAATTCCAATGACATATACAACGGACTCTTTGGTAATACAAATGGTACTTACACAAGCACCAATGGGAATTTCACAGGAAGTAATGGAAGTTATACAGGGAGCAACGGGAGTTTCATTACTAGCAATGGGAGTTTTACGGGAAGCACTGTAAATTATACTGGAACAATTGGAAGTTTCACAAGTAGTCTTCGGAATTATTCTACGCCTAATGAAAGTTTCTCTAGTACCAACAGCACATTTATAAGTGCAAACGATAGCTTTTCTAGTTTAAATAGTAGCTTCAAATCAATGAATGGAAGTTTTTCTAATAATATGGGGAATTTTACCAATAGTGATCATACTAATGGCACATATATGAATAACAAAAGTTACTCCCCTGGCAATATCAACGGCATAAGCCATTGCAATGGAACCAACGGCCACAAGGATGACGAAGACAATCATATTACCAGAACAACGAAGAATTTTAATTTAGGGGACATTTTAAAGAATGGTTTGTGCTTTAAACTAACGTACTAATTTTTAGTTCACCAGCTTTTTATGCTTATGTGTCGCTTGATGTTTTAAAGCTTTAATTATATTATCCTATAATATCAAATATTACATAACTTTCTTAATATTCTACAGGCAACCAAAGATATACATCAGGTCTAAAGCAAAGGATTCAAAATGGCACCCTAGGCCACAGTATGAATGCTACAGATGCAATAACGGTCATGCGTCAAAAACAACTGGATAACACACCCGAGGTGAAAGACGATAGAGGTATCCTGTTGAATAGAGAGCACAGCATCAAAGATCTGGCACAAAGACTTACAAGCCCAGTGAGCCCTACAACTGAAGATAAGCCCTTAAGGGTTTCCGATATGGCAGGCATCGTCTCAAAGGCTAAAGAAGAATTAGCTAAATCCCAGTCAAAAGGTATTTGCTTTTCTTATAAACTAGTTGTATGTTTATATTTTATTTTAGCTTATATTATACTTAAGAAAAACGAACAATTCTATATAATTATCAGTTCTATATCCTATTATATTTGGTGTTTACAGAAATCATAAAGAGCCCTACTGTAGAAAAGTCAACCAAAATCCACGAAATGAAGGTTTCAGAAAATGACTTGCATTGGGAAGAGCTCAGGAAGGGTTGTCTTCATAGAGAATTCCACTTATGTGATTTGGACTTTTCCGATCTCCGCGATGACTCTGATGATGAAATGTCATCACCTGCAGTTAATGCTGCCAGTGGTCCACCGCCTCCTCCCCCTACAATGTTTCCTCCTATAGGCATACCTCCTCCCCTCCCTGGCTGTTTTCCACCATTAGCTAAAAATAACGTTCCTTTACCTCCAAAATCTTTATCTTCGGAACTGTCAAATGATTCTGACAGTTCAATTATTAAGAAAAATAAGAAAACAGTTAAGTTATTATGGAGAGAGATTCAAGAGAATCCTACACCCGTGGCGATACGTTCAAAGGTTGGAGGCTTCATATGGGACGATTTGCCCAGTGTAACTGTTGATACAAACATGTTAGAGCATTTGTTTGAATCCAGAACTAACGATTTAATAATTAAGGTTAGTGGTCTTCAAGTTCATTTTTCACTCCACTTAGTTCTTATACCCACCTCTTTTAAGAACAGATTATTAATAAATATGTAGATGTGTGTGTTAAACACTATGGTGGATTTAAAGTTGACCTGAGTATACGCACGTGATCCTCTTAAAAATTTTCATACCGCTAAATACCTATGTTTTTGATAAGTAATTTTATTTTATGATTATATTTACTAATTTTCTTTTTCTTTTTCATGCGTTACGTCGGATATGCAGGAAGTAAGTATGTTTGAAAACAATTTAACTTTATACTTACATATAATTTTACCCTTTAATACATATCATTCAATACACGATCTCAATTTACAGAAACTAATGGAACCAAAGAGAAATCTCATATTAGATGCCAAAAGATCGAATGCTATTAATATTGCCATGAAGAAATTACCTACACCGCAAACTATTAAGGCAGCTATTATGAAGATGGATGCCACTGTTATTGGGAGGGAGGGTATTGAAAAATTATTGACGATGTTGCCAACAGAAGAGGAAAAAATAAAAATACAGGAGGCACAGGTAATGTAATTGTATTTAATGAAATGAGCATTAAACCTATTCTTAATCAAAACAACAATTTATTATGGTAATTTGGCAAATTTTTGGTTAGGTAGGAAATATCTATCACCTGGCTACCTGAATAATAAATATCCCTAAATATATCTCAATAATCATAAATCATCATCAACAGCCTATAACACTCCACTGCTGGACATGGCCTCTCCTTAGAAAGGAAGTTTTGGTCTACTATGCGACGCTGGCCAGACGGGTTGATATAGGGTTTGTTTGTTTTTAATAATCATAAATATCACTAAATAATTTCAGTACGCTAATCCTGATCTACCTTTGGGCAGTGCTGAACAGTTCCTACTTACCTTGGCTTCTATCAACGAACTCTCATCTCGACTTAAACTTTGGGTGTTCAAATTGGATTTTGACAATTTAGAGGTGAGATGTCCAACATGTAACTCAATTTTTTAACACTATAAAACTATCGGACTTCAATGTTCTTACGTTATTGCAGAAAGAAATCGCTGAACCCCTGATGGACCTAAAACAAGGGATAGAATTGTTGAAGGTGAACAGGACGTTCAAAGTAATCCTCTCTACTTTGAAGACTGTAGGAAACTATCTAAACGGCAACTACGCAAAAGGTTTCCGTTTAGAATACCTTTCAAAGGTCGTCGAAGTCAAGGACACAGTGCACAAACACCCATTACTATATCACATATGCGAAATGATAATCGAAAAATTCCCGGACAGCTCCGACTTTTTCAGTGAAGTTAGTCTTTTATTGTTTTTATAATAGTAGATATATATTATATGTGATATTATAGCTTTGATTCTACTTTTGCACCTCTATTAATTTGACCATACATAAATAATAAAACAATAAATTATTAGGTCGGTCCCGTGATCCGAGCGTCAAAAGTTGACTTCGACATCTTATCAGCCAATCTTCAGAAGGTTGAATCTGATTGCAAGGCATCCTGGGATCATATGAAACGCGTTGCCAAACACGATAGCTCGCAAATATTTAAGACGAAGATAAATGAATTCCTAACAGATGCAGCAGAAAGGATAATTTTACTATCAGTTATTAAAAAGAGGGTGATGAACAGGTAATATCACACAGATAAACTTATGTTGTATAATAAGTTTTTGATTTTCTCATTATTAATGTTTAATACTTTCATACTCTTGAGTTAATTTACATTACAATAAAGGACATTCCTGGTTTCTAACCAAATCAACACTGTATCAAAAATATAGGTATGTATGTGCTTATAATTTGTATCTCTGCCCATGCGAAAGTTTACTGTGCATTGCGAACTGTGCTCTTGCTAAACAAAAAAGATTGTTTGTTGTGTTGAGCAAAAAATATTCTATTTGTTACAGGTTTAAAAAATTCCTTCTGTACTTGGGAGTGCCAAATTGCGAAGTTTCCAAGACGAAACCAGCAGAATTTCTGAAAGTAATTGCTGAGTTTTCACTGGAGTACAGAACGACAAGGGAAAGAGTTTTGCAACAGTTGGAAAAGAAAGCGAATCACCGGGAGAGGAACAAGACTAGGGGAAAAATGATTATAGACGTAAGTAAATGAATAAAATTTACAATTTTTTCTTTAAAAATCAATAAATATGTATAAAAAATTAACTAATTTAAGATAAATTATTTAGGTTGGTAATTATTCAACGAAAAACAGTGATCATACTGCCGACAGTGCTTTGAAGGAACTTTTAAAGACTGATCCTGATACGGACAGCCTTACTGATGGTAGAAGGAAGAGCCAACCGAATAACAGAAAAATTCTAGTCAAGTGAGTATCTACCTAAAACATGCTAATCAAACGCAATGGAAAATAAATTACTTCTTTTTGTTCTTAATTTTAATGAGATTATATAATGTTATCACATTACTAGCAAAAACATGTATAAAATTGACGGCTCAGCATTTTAACTTGGAAGAACTGGCACTTCAGGTTATTGTCTTATCTTGAATCAAAAATTAAGTTTACGAATTACTGGCTCAATCTTTATATATATAATTCTTCTGTGAGTGTGTATGTCACTGAACTTTTCTCAAACGACTGGACCGATTTTGATGAAATTTTTTGTGTGTGTTCAAGGGGATCTGGGAATGGTTTAGATTCACAATTTTGAATGGTAAGGGTGACCCATCCCTAATTTTTTTTTTGTTGCAATACAACGTTTGCCGGATCAGCTAGTAATTTATAAATTATCATGTGTTTGACAGTTGTACAGTTTTAATATAATAATAATAATTTCGAACATTTCACACACGACTGGACGGTCCGATCTTAAACTAGACAGATCCTGACTGTTACCAGACTGTAACCAGACTGCTGATAAACATACTTGTATATTTCTAAATACATACATATTATAGATAAAGTACACCCAGACACAGAGCAAATAACCGTGCTCATCACACAATCATTTGTCCTGGGGGGAATTGCACCCACGACCTCTGGTGTTACCTGCCTGCTGGGTGAACCAGTGTGAGGAGTAAAAAATCGTGGTCAGAGATGATGTGTATGTGAATAAAAAATCGAGCAAAGTCAAAAAGTTTCGAAAAAAATACACCCGTATTATTTTATTTGTAGTGGAGAATTATCAGCTGATGATGAAATATTAGAAACCTTGGTTAGATCAGCGACATACAAACGGAAGCCGATGGTGCGTGAACGCAGGAGGAACAGGATCTCCGACAGGAAGAACTGTAAGCACAATTTTGTATAAATTTAATTTTTAGAATTAGTTTTAATAACCCATCAATGCGAAATTGACGACTGCTGATTTTAAATGATTTAATTTATATCATAATTATTTTTAGCAGATACTTAATTTAAATATCTAATTTCCAGAGGTTAACGTGTGAGTATCTAAATGACCAAAAAGTAATTGAGTTCTGCTAAAATTGCTTTATCAAAGTCCAGGTTTTTGTCCTAATCGAGTTAGGACCAATGCCTGGGCCGTTCTTTAACTAGTATTTAACGTTAATTGTCTCTGATGTAGTAAATTTTTACCTCTGTGTAAAAAAATGCTGATAATATATAGTTTTGATCTCGTGCGATTTTACTATTGCTGTGCGATTATATTTTTTAATAACAATTCAAAGTAAGATAGTCTTTGTATAAAATTATAAATTCACAGTGGCTTAACTTCGAATGATTTACGACTCTGTGTAAAAACAAATAATTTGGATCTATCTGGACAGTAATGTAAATTTAAAATTATTTTAATGCAAGGAAATGATTGACTATCTACCAGTTACCATTGCAATTAGAAACAGATTAAAGAATGACCTTGAAACATTTAGTCACTGATTTTTCAAGTGTTCTGACGTTCAGCTTGTAAAAATAATGAAGAAAGCTTAAGTGCATATCACGTAATATTGAAAAGATGTAGTATCATGTGGCCAGTGCAAAATGCTATTGCGAAATTAACCCCCAAAGTTTTGTTTGTTTATTGTCAAATTTTCTTTTCAGTGAACAGAACTTTAGACGGAAACCAGTCGTGACCCGAGGACTCTGAGTCATCGAGGTATGAATATCTATTTGGAGATAATTGGTTTGATTAATCTTCAGCATGAGAAAGAAATTAATTAGTTTTACAAGTTGAATTTAATAGTAGTGAGGTAAAAGTTCGGCAGTAAAGTTACTCTCATTTTATTAGATAGCCTGGAAAGGGTCTTGCGTTAAATTATTGGTATTTACTTAACATTGCTGAACTGTTGCTTGCCATCTGTCATCCAGAAGACTACAATACCTTAAACATGCAGATTTCTTATCGCCTGATGCAGAAGCCGACATGGCGTTTCTATTGTGATGTTTGTTGCGCAGTTGTTATTGTCAGGCACTGCGCCAAACACCAAAACTGACTGTATTCGATTTTGTACATTTGTTTGAATCAGGTTTAAGAGACTTTAATTTAAAAGCAGACTTTGGCCAGGAGGCAAATCGAAAATCAGAAAGAACTCCATATTTACACACAAAAAAAAAACATGTACCTACATATGGTAAAGCAATATTTTTTGTTTCAGCGCGCTGGAATATCGAAGATTTTGAAACTGCTACTTGGAACAGACTCGTAAAATTTTAAATGTTTGTAGAATCTCACTCATTACTTATTCTTAGTGTTAGCTGTAGTATAACCAACTTATTGTCCGTGAATCAAGTTCACAACTAGCATCTCCACAAAGTTAAGTCTTAATTTTATGACAAATCTGCATATCAAGTACCTAACTAGTTTTCTCGTGTTTTAAATTATAAATGTTGAGCTCAGTGTGTATTAGATATAGGTAGTATATAACTTCATAAATAGTTCGTAGAGTCAAGTTGATTTTTCTTTTATTCCAGCAATAAATTAAAGTATCATCTTTTTTTTTTAAATCAGTTAAAGTAAACCAAAAAATATATAAAGCGCATAAAATCTTAAGTTTATAAATATATGTAATTTTTCTTTTCTTTACATTGAAAGCATTTCAATTTCGAACGATTGATTGGAAATGTTTTTTCTACGCGAATATTAGAAAAAACAGTATTTCTATTCTTGCATCTTTCTCGACGCTATGTTTTGGTCCAAAGGCCATCGTCAAACAAACAATCGTCAAACTTCAGCATTTCTTCGTAAAGTAGGCAAAATGGTAGAAAAGTAGGTCGTGTAATCGTTGTATCAATGTTTATAAAAAAATTGGATGATCTCTCTTCTTATATGTGCAATTTTAAATTTATCAAAAATCTGCGGAAATGCAAATGTGTTTCAATTAGTTTGAAATTATTTTAATTTTAGTTTAAGACATTTTAAGATTAAGTGCTACCGAACATTGGCCACATGCATTAGATTATGCCACGTTTTTGTAATAATTAATTTAAATTATAATTTCAAAATACTTAATGACAATCCTATATTAAAAATTCCTACAGTAAAACTAAATTGAAATGAATAAAATAATTTGTATCATATTCACAACCTAATTTATAATTATGTGATTAAAGTTAAAATATTTATGAACAGTAAATTCGGTGTGTATGCACTTTCTTTTTCGAAAACGACTGCTGTATATCCCAATCTTTTAAGTGTATTTATGTAAATAATTCATGTAAATAGATTTTTACTTTATAGTTTCTTTTGTGGTTTTCTTTTTTCAACAGTCTTATTCTACTGTGTATTGTCAGTGTTTAGTGTTATATGGTAATACGAGTACTGTTTAACGTCGATTCTCGCTTTATTCGTGTCTAATATACATATATAATGTTTATCGAAATATTTTGCTGAATATTTGTAGCGTGACCCTGTTTATTGAATGTAATATCTATACTGTAACCGTTAAAATATTAAATGATATCTTATCAATTGTCGTTACATCATAATAAAGTATTCAAACTTTTCTTTGAGTTTCATTGGAACGCAACTAATAGCAAACTAAGCAAAAAATAGAATATAGAATAGCATATAGAAAAAGATACAACAGATCCGTATCCACATTTGTGAACCCGTATCCGCGGATATACATTCCGTATGACGTCTAATGATGCTACATCCGACACAACACCTACCATTGTTTAGAAAAGTCTCAGACTGTGTAAAACTGTTTTGTTACTTATTCCGAAGAAAAGCTATAACACACTGCTGCCTGCGTAGCGAACAATCCTGAGCCATTGACCAACAAGCATTGTGGTGATAGCTAGTAACGGATATGGTAAAAAAATCTCTGGTAATGATAAACACAAGTCGATGGAGCCTTTGCATGGACTTAAATAGTTAGTTCTATAAGACGATAAATTCAACTTCCAACTTCATCAACTCCTCCTTCTACGTCCATTCAACTCTTCTTTGGAATGCGATTCCTGTCGAAATCAGATCTCATCAGATTCCTGCCGAATCTGAATTGGCAGAACACTCACAACGCTAGAACTATTTTTATATTATATTAAACTAGCTACTGCCCGCTACTCCGCCCGCGTAAATGTTAGGTTATCGCGGTAAAAGGTAGCATATGTCTTTCCTCAAGAATCAAAGTACCTCCATATCAAATTTATTATTTACTTAGATCGGTTTAGTAGTTATTGATTCCCCATACAAACTTCCACCCTCCCTTTTCACCCCATAAAGGATGATGTCTGGGATAAAAACTATTTGCACCTATCGCATCCTATTTCTACATCACCTTGAAGGTTGACTGGGAGAGAATGCCCTATGGCATTAAGTCCACCTTTGTACAACATGTGCATTAGGTTTTAAATAAAAAAATGAGGTAGAAATATCGTAGCAAAGCTCAAATGTATGTGAGACCCCACTCAGATTTAATATTATATTACTATTTACTCTTAACAAGCTCTTAACGTACATATAACACAAAAAATACGTACATATCATGTACACTTAAATAACAACTTACATGTATATTAGGCTCACAACCTTACAAAAATTATAAAGAACTTCACACATCTCACACACGGCCATCTGATCCCAAACTAGGCAGAGCCTGTACTATAGTAACCAGACTGCTTATAAACATACTTACTTATATTTCTAAACACATATATTTTAAAGATAAATTACACCCAGATACAGAACAAATAACCGTGTTCATGACACAATTATTTTTTCTTTGTAGGAATTGAACCCACTATACTGGCTTAACAGTCAGGATTACTAACCACTAGACCAACAGGTCAGTCAAAATCAATTTTTATTTAATAAAATAAAAAGGCATCGACATATCGAGCGAAGGCCTGTTTCGGGGTCACTTCTAAGTGACCTTACCCTAGAGGGTAAGGTCACTTAGAAGTCAAATTGAAACTTCCTTAACGGAGGTTTCAGATTAAGGTCGAATTAATCTAGTCCATTTTTAACTAAAAAATATAGGTTTGCAAAAAGATACCGTTTCTCGTATCGCTTCGGTTCGAGAGCACCTCCCTTACTGCCTCAGCCAGTGTCAGAATACTAGGCATCGACGTCAAGTCCAGTTTCACGGTCGGTGCTGAACAGATCGAGGCAGAACTTCACTCCGGCCCACCGCCTTCAGCTCCATTGGCAGCGCAAGTCCGGCTGCATATTCTGCATATATTCTAGTCTCATCTCTATGTAGGGGCACCTCAGTTCCAACTTCACCCTCTGGACCACATCTAACGAAAAGCGACTCTAATCGTTGATAGCCCAAAGATCTCCGATCGCCTCGATGCCTTCTCTATAATATATCTCCTTATCATGGAGAGTGCTAAGCTAAGGTTCTCTTCACATCATCTAGATAATTGGCGCTCCACCACTGTGCGCTTTTCAAGACACTTTTTGCCATGCACAAATAATCTGTGGAACCAGTTATCGTCTGCGGTATTTCCGGACCGATACGATCTGCAAACCTTAAAGAAAAGAGTGTACTTCTTGCTAAAAGGTCGGCAACGCGTTTTTGACTCCTGAGTTGCAGAAGTTCATGGGCGGGGTTCACTGGCACTTTCTTATGACACGTGTGTTTTTTCTAATTGTTTTCAACTTATTTTATAATAATAATATGATTTAAAATTTATAAAAAATAATAATTTCACGTGTTCACAAAAAGCCATTACAACTTTTATTTAATAATTAATTGTAATTTTCAACAGTGTTATCTGTAATTTACCAAAAATTGTACTTGGAGAGGAGAACATCGGTGATTGTCTCACAATTTATACCAGCACAGACAGTCATTATTTGTTTAAGTATCTTTAAAATATATTATACTATTCTTATTTATAAGTATGCTGCGTCATATTGTCGTCTCTTTACCTAACTTTAATGTACGTTTGTTGGCAAAGTCAGAGAATTATATAGAAACTCGCATTAGTGAAACCACAATAGATTGAGACGTGAATAAAACTAGTCCTTTAGGGATAATTCATTTACAGCAGACCAGAGCATACTCTTCAATGTTTTACTTCAAGGAAACTTCCACGATTGAAACACCACCGAGGCAGGGTACAACCGGGCGTTAAAGTATCTGTAAGTATTTAATTCTAAATAGGTATGACATGTTGTCAACTGACTTGAGGGTGATACATACCACCCGTTACCCAACGCAGTGTAAACGTTGCAAACGTTAGGTAGGTGTATACTCGGTGGTGCAGTGGTATCGAATGCGACTGCTGTGCTGAGGTCTCGGGTTGGATTCCCGGGTGGGACCAAATGTTTGTACGATCTGCACATATTTGTTTCGAGTTTGGGTATTTTCTAAGTATAATATGTATGTATTTACAAAAAAAAAGTATGTAAGTTGTTTATCGGTCAATCTAGCTGTCATAGTACAAGCTCTGCTTAGTTTAAAACTAGATGGCGTTATGTGTCAGAAGTCCAAAAAAATATAAAATAAAATTTTGATCAAAAAAATCATTGAGAATAAGAATAATACAACGGCAAACTGAAGTTAAAATTACAACTTACGGTAAACATCACATTCTTTTAACTACCTTTTATTCAAAATATAAGATGAATTAGACTTCTTCTGCCTCGTTATTATTATTTATATCTTATCCCGTTACGCGG